AGTCGGACGCTGAACTGACTGAGCCACCTAGGCGCCCCTAAAAAAAATTTTTTTAATATGATTATGGTCAGTTTCTGGAGCAAAAATTTAATTATACTTTCTAAGTGGAGCTATCATTTTAAAAGACTATCTCTGATAGTTTTATGGTGTTTTATGTAATGAATCTATATGTCATACGGTCCAAAATTTTAGTAAGTAATTCTTAACCATTTTTTCTTCCTGACATTGTCACAGATCTTAAAGATTGGTGGAAACAGAAAAATAATGCAAGAAGTAGAGAGGGTGTTAATCTTTTTACACAGCCTATAGTTTGTTACCATGAAACACTTATTAGTAGACCTGAAGGTCTTAATTCTGCCTAAGAGTATTATGTCAGAGGATTCCAGTTCTGGTTCCCAATTTGAAGAAAAATTGCTGTGGAATAATAGAACATGAAGAATATTTGTAGAATATTGCTTTAAAGATTTATAATAGTAATATTTTTGTTTGACTAAAAATTGTTCTCTAAATGCAAGAAGCTATTTTTCAAAACTGTGATAAGGGGGTACTGGGTGGCTCAGTTAAGTGTCAACTCTTGATTTGAGTTCAGGTCCTGATCTCATGGTTATGGGATTGAGCCCTGTGTCAGGCTCTGGGTTGACAACTGGGAGACTGCTTGAGATTCTATCTTCTCCCTCCCTCTCTCTGCCCCTCCCTCACTTGCTCTCAAAATAAATAAATAAATAAATAAATAAACAAACAAATAATCATTTTTAAAAAACTGCAATAAGGATATATGTTGATCATTTCTTGTTAAGAATGTTCAAATCCAAAAAGATTTCAGCAAATACTTGGAACTGTGCCAAGTATTTTGTATTATATCAAAGTAGTATAAAAACTGCAGATCTTAAAACGATACAAAATATGAACGACTAATTGAAGTATTTGTTATATGTACAGTAACACTGAGAAAACAATAATGATTACTTCTGAGGTCATCCATTGATTAGTCAGGGAGGGTAATGTATAAACCATATCACACTAGTGATCTTTAATTATTTTGCTATTATTTATAATTTTCCTTTAATTTTATCTTTTAAACATAACTACTAATTCAGAAGATATAATAACATTATATCAGTGTGACAGCTCTGGACAGTTAAAATTTTTGGTGTGACTCGTATCTCTTGTTTTTGTGCCTCTATTGTGCACACTTATTATAATAATTCTTAATAGGAAAACACTTTTTCCTTTTTTCTTTTGCACCTTGTTTTCCTTTTTGCAGTTTTTAATTATAAAACCGAGATTGAGCTTTAAAGGTCCATGATGATAGAATTCTAATTGTAAAGTAAAGTTACTTTGGTGAAGAGTTTTGAAAAATATCTTTAAATACTAGTTGCCATTTACTTAATGCTGTTTATTATGTACTATGCACTGTGCTCAGCCTCCACCATCTTAATCCTTAAAGTAGCCTTAGGGAAGTAGTGTTCTTATCCCCATTTTACAGAGGGCAAACCAAAGTTACGTGAGCTTAAATATTGAGCCCGGTGTCCTACAGCTACTAAGTGAGTGCTGGACTTCAAACCCAGTCTCTTTAATCCCTTTTGCATTGAATCCCTGCATGGTCTGTATTGCCCAACCAAAGAGATCAAATTTGTTTAAGATCTCACATTTTTGGTAGATATGTTTTCCTACACTGTCCAGTAAGGTAGCCACTTGCCATATGTAACTCCTTAAATTTAAATTAAGTAAAATAAAAAATATACTTCTGATTTACATTAGCCACTTTTCATATGCTCAAATAACCACATGTAACTAGTATCTACCTTATTGTACAGTGCAGATACAGAACATTTCCATCATCATAGAACATTCTGCACTAAACTGTTCACTAGACCTTCAGAGAAATGCTTATTATATGATAAAATGGTAAAAGATGGCTGGAAGAAGCAGGTCTTTGTATTCTGTTTAAGTGACAATATAAATATTTAGATTGCTTCTATAACTTCCTAATATTTTTAAAATTTGCAGAATTGTATGTTTTGAATGGATTTATTAATGTTAATGCTGTTAGCAAACAATGAGGTTATTTATTCTTAGATCTTGAGAACTGCAGTTGTAAATAGGTATACAATTCTTATAAGATGTCATAGCATTTAAACAGATTTCTTAAGCCCTTTGAGTTCTAAATACTTGACATTCTTTAACAGGAATTATGTCACATAACAAATCAGAATGAAAAGTTTCTGAAGCAAAAATCTGTTAGCTTCTGCTCTAATCTTAAGTTTGTTTTCTTCCATGTTGTAAGTCTTTTGAAAATGTTTCTGTGGAATCGGTGGACTCATCTAATGAAAAAGGTAATGCTTGAGGTACTTAAAATGTTAGTCAAATTTTTTTTGCGATTACTTTTCATAAGTGTTTTTGGATTACTTAATGTCTTGCTTGGTAACCTAAAGTGTTCATTTTTAACACAAACTGATGTGTCAAACTTTACATAAATACTTAAGGGAAAAAAACCTGCTACAGTAGATAGATAATGGAGAGACTGGTCAAGAATTCTAAAGGGCTTGGGGCCCCTGGGTGGCTTAGTTGGTTAAGCGTCCGACTTTGGTTCAGGTCACAATCTCAGATTTGAGCCCCTCATCTGGCTCTGCACTGACAGTGTGGAGTTGCTTAGGAGTCTCTCTCTGTCCCTGTCTCTCTGCCCCCACCCCCCGCTCTCTTTCACTCTCTCAAAATAAATAAATAAACTTAAAAAAATTCTATAGGGCTTGTAACTTGATGAATAATAGGAATATATATTAAGAATAAAACATACATTATAATTTAAAACCATTTTAAATTTGAACTGTGACCTTTATGTCTAAATTTGCCACTTGAAATTTTTTAAAACAGTTTTCATTGAAGAACATCTTAGGATTTGAATGCTTCTTTGTTTAGAGTTATGTGCTGATATTTAATATATACTTGGTATTTTTATTTTCAGGAAATTTTTCTCCCATAGAGCTAGACAGCGTGCTATTAAAGAACACTGATTCTGTAGAATTGGCTTTGTCTTATGCTAAAACGTGGTCAAAATATACCAAGAACATAGTTTCATGGGTTGAGAAGAAGCTTAACTTGGGTGAGTTGCCCTTTAGGGCATCTGATTAACTTTGGACTGTAAGAACTAAATTGTTCACAATTCATTTTCTACAGACGATGACTAATGTGATTCCAAATTAGTAGCTGTTTCATTGTAGTGAATAAAATCATTGTCCATTTTCTCTTCTTGAAATAGGAAAGACTTTTCTTACAATAAATGTACTTACTGAACTTTACTGTGGGCCAACCACTCGATCTGGGAACACAAAGACAAATAGTATACTGTCTTTGACTTTAAGGAAGTCATACTTCAGTGGGTGAAAAGAATTGCAATCAGATAATATGGTTAAAAGAAATAAAAGCAACAATAGGTGTATGAGCACAGGCGATGGAAACATCTTAATAGTTAGGTTTTTTCCCCAGTGTTTTCAGTTGACAAAATACTTTCACATCCTGTACTTCATTTAATCCTTACCAAAACCCTGGAAAGAAGGCAAGAAAAGAATTCTTCCCATTTTACAGCTCAGGCAAACAAGACAGGTGATTTGCCTAAGGTCAGATAGCAGATTTATCTAGGATTTTATAAGTAACTGGAAGAATATGGGATTTACCCAAAGCCTGTGCTCTTTCTACCACATTATTTGCCCTTTATAGGGAATGCCCATCAGAATCACCTGAATAGCCTTATAAAAGGGCAATACACAGGCCTAGGTCACATCTCCTAAGAATTGAGGCCAAACAACTATATTTTGAAAGTTTCCTAGTGGGTTTCATGAGCATTTCTGGTTAAGAGTCACAGTATCATATGATGCAGACTACTATGTGTGCTCACTCTTTAAATTGGGAATTACAAATAATTCTAGAGTATAGAAGGGAAAAATAAGTTAATTTACCTTCTGATACTTTCTTTGACCTTTTCAGAGTTGGAGTCCACTAGAAATATTGTCAAGTTGGCAGAGGCAACTAGAAGTAACATTGGAATGCAGGTAAGTGTTCAGTGAACTCCTAGGGTTTTGTACCAAGAGGTTACCCAAATGAGCTACTGATAGTGCCTCTCAAAATCAGAAAATTGTGTAGTTAATATAGGAAAGAAATGAAATGCTCAACTTAAAATCCTTTTATTTAAAAAAAAAATTTTTTTAACATTTATTTAATTTTGAGAGACAGAGATAGAGCACAGGCTGGCGGGGGGGGAGAGGGGACAGCTGGGGCGAGGTGTGGGCAGAGAAAGAGTGAGACACAGAATCGAAGTGGGATCCAGGCTCTGAGCTGTCAGCACAGAGCCTGATGCGGGGCTTGAACTCATGAACCATGAGATCATGACCTGAGCCGAAGTTGGACACTAAACTGACTGAGCCACCCAGGCACCCCTAGACTTAAAATCCTTTTAAACTTACATGGATATCCATTATGGAAAAAAATGAGGAAATTCACAATTTTATGCAAATATTGATTGTCTTGTTAGCCACTAGTTTTGCTACCTAGTTTTATAATTAATATTCTTCAGTATTTTTTTCATATAGTCATATTTATGACTAGTTTTTCTGCAAAAACAAAGTCTAAACTTAAAATTTCTCCCTCTGAAGAAGAGTAATGGGAGATCTAGAACTTTAGTGCTATTTCTATTGGAAAATTTACTTTTCAATTTTGAATTCTAGGAGTTTATGCCATTGCAGTCTCTATTTACCAGTGCTCTTCTTAGTGATATCAAAAACAGTCACCTTTTGCAACAAACAATCGCAGCACTCCAAGCCAACAAATTTGTGCAGGTAAAAATGTATATGTGTAATACACATTTCTTTAACAACAGCATACCTTTAGATAACAGCTTTTTTTCCTTTTTTTAAAATGCTCTTGACAGCCTCTACTTGGGAGGAAAAATGAAATGGAAAAACAAAGGAAAGAAATAAAAGAACTTTGGAAACAGGAACAAAACAAAATGGTTAGTATTATAATGGAGTTTCATCTAGAATGGATAAAGAAGATGTGGTATATATATACAATGGAGTATTACTCGGCAATTGAAAAGAATGAAATCTTGCCATTTGCAGCTACGTGGATGGAACTGGAGGGTATTATGCTAAGTGAAATTAGAGAAAGACAAAAATCATATGACTTCACTCATATGAAGACTTTAAGAGACAAAACAGATGAACATAAGGGAAGGGAAACAAAAATAATAGAAAAACAGGGAGGGGGACAAAACAGAAGAGACTCATAAATATGGAGAACAAACTGAGGGTTACTGGAGGGGTTGTGGGAGGGGGGATGGGCTAAATGGGTAAGGGGCACTAAGGAATCCACTCCTGAAATCATTGTTGCACTATATGCTAACTAATTTGGATGTAAATTTAAAAAACAAAAACAAAAAAATAAGTTATGATGGAGTTTCATCTACCTATTTGTGAATATCTAAAATCATCTGCAGTATATAAGCATCTACCGTAGAAGATGCATCTTACTCTGTAGTTTTTCTAAAATGCTGTCTTAATTAGCTTGTTGAATATGCTAAAGAAGCTTATACATTAGGGTTTCTTATTCTGCATTTAATAGTCTTTTTTTTTTTTTTTCTGTGTAGCTTGAAACAGAGACTGCTCTTAAAAAGGCAAAACTGTTATGCATGCAACGTCAGGATGAGTACGAAAAAGCAAAATCTTCCATGTTTCGTGCAGAAGAGGAGCATCTGTGCTCAAGTGGTGGAGTAGTCAAAAATCTCAACAAGCAGCTAGAAAAAAAGCGAAGGTTGGAAGAGGAGGCTCTTCAAAAAGTAATTATCTTTTTTGTTTGCAAGTTGAATTAGCAATAATCTGCTAAGGCTCAGGATTGCCTGGAAGGCTTGTTAAAACAGGCTACTGCCCCCTCCTCCCCCCATCCAGAGTTTCTGATTGAGTAGCTCTAGGATTGGCCCCAGGCAACTTGCACTTCCAACAGGTCCCCAGGTGATGCTGCTGCTGCTGGTGGTGGGATCCACACGCTGAGAATCAGTATGCTAAGAGGTTTTTGCCTACCTTCTAAATCTTTGGGTTTGTTTATGAAAAAGTATCTTAGAGAAAGCAGTAGTTTAATATTTTGACTTGATTATTCAGGAAGTTCAACTTTTAGGCAACTGTGTGTATATGTATACTGATTCCAGTACCTGATAGCAAAGCTAGGCTGGAACTTTATATTGTTTATAAGAAGATTATAAAGAAAATGGTGACTGTAAATAGAAAAGGCTATTAAATAGAAGTACACATGTATTTCGTACATAGTATACTAATTGTAAGTCCTACTTGACTGTCCGTTAAAGTCAGGTGCCCATGAATCACTGACCGGAACAGATTGTTATCTTTAGAAATATTCTCTTTGAAACAGATTATTTCATAATTTTTGTATAAAAAGATTTTTCAATTATTTAAATTGAGTTTTATTATATATGTATTTGTTTTAAAATGTAAATTCTAGTGGTCAGTGTTATTTTTTTTTTCTGTGATATTCCTGAAGGTAGAAGAAGCAAATGAACTCTACAAAGTTTGTGTGACAAATGTTGAAGAGAGACGAAATGATCTAGAAAATACCAAAAGAGAAATTTTAACACAACTCCAGAAACTTGTTTTTCAGTGTGATCTTACCCTTAAAGCTGTAAGTTTTTTTTCTTTCAGTATTTTGAAGGCCAGGGGCAAAAAAGAGTAAATATCTGCAGAAGGGAGTGCGATGCTTGATGGGTCATGATTCTTAAGGGATTTAATTTCTGAGATTAATGAAACATTTAGAGTTTGAAAATTGACTTTCAGTTTTTCATAGCAGTATATGATTTGAGTTACATTTTTTATCTGGACAGCCACCCCATGGATTGATGATTTGTCCAATTAAAATTAAAGTCTGAGAGTTTGAACATGCCTCTAAGCCACTGTCTTTCTTAACTTGGTTGACGAAATGGATTTTGACCATTGAAACTTCTATCAGTACTATAAGATCTATTCTTCAAAATTTGCATAAACTAAATATTAAAATTGAACCCAGTGATTTATTTGGGAAAAAAGTATCCTTCCCTCAAATATTTTCATTTGCCTCTTTAAAATGACTTTTATTAAAAGTTTATATACAAAATACCTTTTTTGGGTATACATTTCACAAGCTGTAACCCATGTATAAATTTGTGTAACCACCACCATCACAATCAGGATTCAGAACAATTCCATCACTCCAAAAAATTTTGCTCATGGTGCCCCTTTGTAGTCAGACTGTCTACCCAACCCTGACCCCTGGCAAATATTGACCTGTGCTCTGTGTTCATAGGTGGGTCTTTTCCAGAGTGTCATATAAATGGAATCCTATAGCATGTAACTTGGAGACTGGCTTCTTTTCCTCAGCATAATGTCTTTGAGATTCAGCAGTGCTATGCATGGATCAATAGTTCATTTCTTTTTATTGCTGAATAGTATTCCGTTACATGAGTGTACCACAGTGTTTATGCATTTATCAGTTGGACATTTGTGTTGTTTCGAGTTTTGGGTGATTGTGAATATAGAGCTGCTATGAATATTTGTTTACAGGTTTTTGTGTGAACATAAGTTTTCATATTTCTAGGGTAAGTACCTAGGAGCGAGATTACTGGATGGTATGGTAAATGTCTGTTTAACGTTACAAGAAATTGCCAAATTGTTTTCCAGAATGACCATAACATTTTTCGTTCTAACCAGTAATATACGAGAGTTCCGGTAGTTCTGCATCCTTCACAACACTTGTCAGTTGTTGTTTTTATATCTTAACTGTTCTAATACGTGTGTAGTGGTAGTTGTTTTAATTTATATTTCTGGAGTGACTAATGATACTGAGCATCTTTTCAAGGACTTATTTGCAATCTCTATTTTGCCAGTTTTTAAAACTTGAGTTTGTTTTCTTATTGTTGGGTTTGCATATTTTGTCTTCCAGTCTGAAACTTTATTCATATATCAGTTTCTTTCAGGGAACAAAGGGTTTTAATTTTGATGGAGTCTAACTTAGGAATTTCTTTTATGGGTCATGCTTTGGGCATTATATCTAAGAGTGTTTCACCCAACTAAAGGTCACAAAAACTTCTCTCCTATGTTTTCTCCTAAAAATTTTATAGTTCGACATTGATATATGATCTGTTTTGACTTAATTTTTATATAAGGCATGAAGTATAGATCGAGGTGTATTTTTTTGCATATAGATGTATTAAAATTATACCCGTGGGGTTTTAATTTATGGAAATGACTGAATGCTGACATGGAGAGGTCAATGTTATTGAAAGATGAACTGCTTACTTCCATTTCCCGAGAGAAGGGAACATGCTGTGCCACACAGGGTCACAGAAGTGCCAGGTTTGGTGAAGCAGAGGCAGGAGTGAGGGGAAAGCTGAGTACATAGCCTTTATTGGGTTTTCAAGGGAAAAGCAAGGTACATCAGGATAAGCAGTATAGGATTGGTTAGCTTGAATAAGTCCAGTGTGCTTTGGGATATAGGGGTGGTCTCTAGTTGCTTGTACCTAGCCCTGGGATGATTCAGAGCAGGAGAAAATATTGACTTGGTGTGTGAGAGTTAGTTAATGAGGTTGTTCAGGTTGTATATGAAAGATGTGCCCCCTCCACCCTCTACCCCTGGGCTAAGAATTGGTTAGCCCTGGGAGGAGCAGACTCTCCCCAGCCAGCAAGCTTTTTAAGATATCAAAACATTATAAAATATGGAAAATGAAAAGCATTAATACAGGTGTCCACTTGTTTCAGTACCATTTGTTGAAAACATTGAGCCATCTCCAATGATTTGCCTTTGCGTCTTTGTGAAAAATCAATTGACCGAATTTTTATAGGTCAGTTTCTAGACTCCCTATTTTGTTCCATGGATATATGTACCTTTCCTTTGGCCCAAATTCTACTATGTTGATTACTGTTTTATATCAAGTCTTAAAATCAGGTAGTGTGAGTCTTCAACTTTATTCTTTTTTAGAATTGTTGTGAGTATTTAAGATTCTTTGCCCATAAAAATGTTGGAATCAGCTTGTCTGTATCTATAAACAAAGCCTGCTAGTATTTTAATTGGAATTGTGTTAAACCTTAGATCAGATAGGAAGAATTGACTGTATATGTAGCATCTTAAATATATATAGAGTTGTTCAATCCATGAAGAGAGTATGTCTCTCCACTTATTTAGAAACATGGTATTTTTTTAATCAGAATTTTATAGTTTTCAGCATAAAGGTTTTCCACATGTTTTGTTAGATTTAAACCTAGGTATGGATGTATGTATTTGGGCGGCTATTGTGAATGTGATTGGTACAAATAAATAAATAGATTAAATACATACCACATATAATTTATGTGTATGTATCTATGCATACACATTTCTTTAATTTCAGATTTCAATTGTTCATTGTTAGTATTCAGAAATACAAGTGATTTTTGTGTATTGATCTTGAATCTTGCAACCTTGCTGAAATAAGTCCTAGAACTTTTTTTGTAGAAACATTGGGCTTTTCTACATAGAAAATCATATTATCTACTAATAGGGACAGTTTTATTTCTTCATTTCCAGTCTGTATTCCTTTTATTTCTTTTTCTTTTTTGCACTGACTGTGGCTGTGACAGAAGATATCTTTGTCCTATTCTAGATTTTAAGGGCAAAGCATTTAGTCTTTCACCATTAAATATAATAGCTTATAGGTCTTTTGATGATGCCCTTTATCAGGGTAAGGAATTTCCCTTTTTCTAATTTGCAGAGAGTTTTATCATGAAGAGAGAATTTTTTTTAACTGTTGAGAATTTTGGGATTGTTTTTTATTACAGCATAAACTAGCAAATCTGTCTGCTATAGTATGTATTTAATATATGTGTATATATTTTCTAAATTCTTTTATAGGTACCTTTATATACTATTTCATGTACACCTAAATATGGGAGAGGAACATATTTAGAACAAATCATGTATAAATACAATTTACAAAACTTAAATATGCAATGTTTGCTAATTAAATTATTATAAACATTTATAATTGTGTCTTTGTTTTTTAAAAAAAGAGATGATTTTATCAAATGATTTTTTTGCATCATTTGATGTGATAACACAGTTTTTCTTTTGTAGTCTGTTAATATGATGGATTATATTAATAGTTGAGTGTTGATTTCTAGTCTTTTATTCCTGGATAAGCTGCTTTTGGTTGTTATACATTGTTCTTTTTATATGTTGCTGGATTCAATTTGGTTAGTATTTTGTTGAGTATTTTTTTCTTTTTCTTCTCTGTTAATGAAAGACATTGGTATCTTGCTATTGTTTTTTTTTTAATCTGGTTTTATATCAGGGTAATTCTGGTCTTATAAAATGAATGGGGAAGTGTTCCTTCTTATCAGTTTTCTGGAAGAGAAACTGGTGTTAATTTCTTCAATTGTTTGGTGGCATTCTCTGGTGAAAGCAAATGGGCTTAGGGTTTTCATTTTTGGAAGGTTTTTCTTTTCTTTCTTCTTTCTTTCTTTCTTTCTTTCTTTCTTTTTTTTTTTTTTTTTTTTTTTTTTAAGTTTATTTATTTTAAGAGAGAGACAGAGAGTGAGCAGGGGAGGGGCAGAGACAAAGGGAGAGAAAGAATTCCAAGCAGGCTCTGTGCTGTCAGCGCTAAGCCCAATGTGGGGCTCAAACTCACAAACTGTGAGATCATGACCTGAGCCGAAACCAAGATTCAGATGCCATCTGACTGAGCCATCTAGGTGCCCCGTTTTTTTGGAATTATGTATTCAATTTATTTTGATATAGGCCTATTTGAGTTAATTATTTCTTTTGGGGTGATTTTTGGTAGTTTGTGGCTTTCATGTAATCAGTCCCTTTTACCTCAGTTGTGTAATTTATGTGCAAACAGTTGTTCATAGGTTTTCTATAAACTTTCAGTGTCTCAATAGGCTGTAGTGATATCCTTTGATTCCTGATACTGGTAATTGTGCTTTCTTTCTTTCCCTCTGGTTAGTCTGGCTAGAGGTTTATCATTTTGATTCACCTTTTCAGAAAACTAGCTTTTATTTATTTGTTTTTAATTTATTTTAAAATGTTTATTAATTTTTGAGAGAAAGTACAGCACATGCGAGTGCACAGGGCCACATGGGGGAGGGGGCGGAGAGAGAGAATCCCAAGTGTTCTCTGTCAGCACAGAGCTTGATGTGGGGCTTGAACCATGAGATAATGACCTGAGCTGAAATCGAGTCTGATGATTAATTGACTGAGCCACCCAGGCATCCCAGAGCTAGCTTTTAATTTCATTGGTTTCTCTATTGTTCTTTTTAAAATTTCATTTATTTTTGCTTGCTTTGGGTTTATTTTGCTTTTCATCTTAGTTTCTTTTAGCTCTTCTTTTTTAGAGGTGGAAGCTTAGATTGTTCTTTGAGACCTCTGTACTTTTTTAATACAAATATTTAAGTATTTAGATTTCTAAGTAATGCTTACATCCCACAAATTTTGAATTTTATGGCTCTATTTTTGTACATTACAAAATATTTCCTAATTTCCCTTGAGACTTCATCTTTGACCTATGGGAAATGTAGAAGTTGATTGTTTAATTTCCAAGTGTTTAAGGATTTTCTGGATATATTCCTGATACTGATTTCTAGTTTAATTGTGTTATAATGAGAGAAATATTTTGT